TAGCTCTTGCGATCTATTTTTAATCGTCAACGGGAAGCAATCTTGACTCGAGCATCGAGTGAAGCATCCTTTCGCCACCTAGAACCCACCTCAAACAAAAGAGAAGTCAAATCAATCTTTTCTTCCTCTGTAATCGAGAGAGTGAGTGATTGTAAAAGGTTCTTACCAAGTGATAGAACTCATTCTTAAAACAAGAATCAATCAACTTAAATTTTTTGACCCAATAGAGGCATCATCATAAAATGATTGGGAAATATTGTGGAGGTCATGTTTAATAAGGTCCAAGAATTCTTGAAAGAACCTGATGGAATAGCCATTAGGTTCAGGTGATTTCTCTGAGTGCAAATCAAACATTGCCAATTTAACTTCCCCTTCAGAGAATGGATTCTCTAAGGATAATAGAGATTGAATTTTATTTGAATAAAGGCTATTATAATCCATGTTGAAGGAAGATGATGGTTTGAAAGAGAAAAAATTTGAGTAAAAATCATAGAAAACTTTTTGATTGTCCTCTTATGAAGAGATGATTTGGTCATTTACAAAGAGGTTAGGAATAAAAATTTTCCTTTATGAGTAGAAGCCACCTTGTGGAAAAAAGAAGTATTTGATTCCCCTCCATTAGCCAGATCTCTCTCCACATGTTTTCTTCATTCTTAGCAATGGAGATGAAATGAGAAATTTCCTAGACTCCAATTCAAAGTTAGTAATAGGTCTAGACTCTTCAGAGTGGGATAAGGAATCTAAGGATGCAAGGATAGATTCCTTTGAAAGAGAAACATAGGCAAAAAAAAATTCTTCCTCCATTTAATTATTCTTTTGAGGAGTTTTAGCTGGAAAGCAAAGGATTCTACTAGAGTTCCATGGTAGGTGAACGAATTCCAAGAAATAGAGAGAAAAGATTTGAATTTATTGTGAGTGAGCCAAGCTTTTTCAAATCTGAAAAGGGGCTTGGGAATGGAGGTAGACGAATCCAAGATGAAAGGGATATGATAAGAGCATCCTAAAGGAATACCATATTGAATTAAGGATGAAAAGTGATACTTAAAATATTGGTTAATAAGGAACCTATCTAGTCTAGCAATGGTTGAATCAGTTTTCATGTTAGACCAAGTAAACTATCTACCATTGAGAGGGAGTGAAAGAACACTAGAGGGGGAGGGGGGTGAATAGGGTAATTGCTAATCTAATCCAATTACGATACCAAATTAAAACTTATAAAACAATATCCTAGTAATACGATATACAAAAAGATATGCAATGATAAACAACGAGACAATAGGAGATATAAACACAAACACAAGATGTGAAGAATAATAGTGCGCCAAAAACAATCGCAAACAAAAAATATGATCACGGAGTTCGATCAACCCACGACCTACGTCTCCGCTCCTCATCTTGAGGAGATCTCCATTATATCTTAAAAATCTACACAAAAACGGTTTCCAAAGATCACCGATAACTTTTATAATGCACACAATGTCAATCACACAAGCTACACTTCTCTAAGTGTTGGACTACCCGTGTCACCTTCCTCAAGTGTTTGGAATTACAATCTCTCCCTAGGATTTACAACCAACCCACTCCTCTTAGAATTGACCCCGATCTTTCACAACCACTCCTCTAAGTGTTCTTGTGTATTACAACATGTTTAACAGTAAGTGCGAATAAATGATTTTTGTTCACTAAACAAGTAAGAACAAAATATAATCTCTCTCAATGAAACACTCGACAACCCAATTATATGAAATACTAAAGCTCAAGTACTTGTGTGTGTAAACAATGAATAAAATGAAATCAAACTCAAATAAATCTAGCTTATATATGAGAATCAATATATAAGATCAGCTAAAGAAAGAGTTTAGAAAACTTCTCCAAAACAAGGAGAGATGAGATTTTACGATGAGCGCTTCAAAACTAAAATCGAGATCCTTCACTATGTAAAGCTCTTTTTCTCATAAACAAACACACTTCTTTTCTCAAAAACGTGCAACCAAAATGGCTAAACTATCTTGTAAAACTCTTATGTTCAAATAAGTCTTGAGGCCTATTTATAGCCTCTCAAACATATCAAAACAAAACTAGCCGTTACAATGATCAGTCGACTGATAGGTATATCGGTCGACTAAGCATTCGACCGTTGGCTAATTCTAGAAAAATAAAATAACATCGGTCGACTGACAAAAACTTGGTCGGTCGATTGACAACATTGTTCAGTCAACTGACTCTATTTATCAGTCGACTGATCGACTGTAAAAGAGAATGTTGTAAAAAAACACTTCTGCTAAGTCAACTAAAAAATATGGTTAGTCGACTGAAGTACTGTTCTGTCAACTGACTCGAACAACCGGTCGAATGAAAACAGACAAAATAGATACTTGAACTTGCTGAGAAGTTAATTTTCTAAAATAGTAAATTAAAATAGTAAAACTTGAAAAAACATTTATACCTATGAAAATAAATATGTTGGAAGATAATTTTTAATAATAGCATTTCTCTTTTATGAAAACTCACTATTTTGCAAAACGGTCAAGATTACGAGATCGTTAAACACTTGATTTTGATGAAATCATTTCAAACAACTTATCTTCAAAGATATTCTAAAAATTCTTTAACAAAGCGAAACAAATAATAAAAGCGATAAATCGAATAACGTGTATGTGTATGATTTGAGCTTTAAATATAAACACATAAAGTAAAAAAACCTAAACTTACAGACACTATACCAAACAGATAATCTTCATGAAGCTCGATCATGGTAGTAGGGATGAAGCACAATAATGGATCTTTGACTTGAATGGCGATGACTTCATTCCAATTTTTACCAACCTCCAATAGGATGTCATCATTAAAGTATAATTCCGTCCAACCTCTAATGAATATCATCTTAACGCTCAAGTCCAACCAACCTCTAACAGGAGGATGTTTGTGTAGGATACCTAGCGAGCAAATGCAAATACTCAAAAATAATATTAGGAATTATTTATTAATCATCAAAACCAGATTTAACAAGAATTTTTCTCAATCTCCCACCAACAAACATCCCTCTCTTCTCTCTCAATGTGAGCATAAACAGATATAACAAGAAATTTTCAATTGGAAACTTCATGGAGGAGAACAGTTGAAATTGAAAAGACCCTTATATAGGAGTCTAGACAATCACAGAGATAATCATTCTAACCTAGTAGCACACCATCTCTAGACTATATTGCATCTAGACTCAGCCATAATGTTAAGTTCTTTCAGAAGAACCCAACAATATTAATACCAGAGAAAAAGGATAGCATCCTTAACTATCCTTTGCTTGACTGGATTATTCAACCCCCTAACATCCTATGAACCAATCTTCATGAATGATGATAAAACAACTAACAACCAAACTAGTGAGGGGACTAGTGAGGGTCTGAATTATGAAGATAATTCAATCCTCTCCCTCTCTAAAACTTCAAGTCCGTTAATATCCACAGATGAAATTGGTTCTTGTACACCACAACTTACACGATATCTCATCTATAGAAAGAGAATCAATAGTCATAACTGGAGTAAAGGTTGAGGAAAATCGACCCTTTTTAGGAGGGTGTGCTCTTGAAGAGTTAGCGAGATGCTTGTGATATGACTTATGACTGATTGGCGTAGTATATCCTTCCTCTTGTTTCCGATTGGTCGTTCAAACCCTGGAGGCTGAGCAATGGATGAGATAGCTTCAAGAAATTCTTTCATTGAGGATGATGAGGAGAGAATAATTTTTCTAACTTGGAATTTTGAGGTAGGCTTGGTAGATGGGCCTCTCTTAGCACCCACATACATTACTTCTCATGTTGCCCTTGGAAAGTAATCAGATTTACCCTCCAAATTGACTTCCACCATATCCAAAAAAGAGGTATCTAGGATGGGTTACTTGGCCCCAAATTAGGTAGGTTCAGAAAATTCACAGTTTCCTTCACAGCCTCCTGACTTCCCGCTGAATTTGAAAAATCTCTCATTACTTGTTTTACCCTTGTCTACCTTGGTCTGAGTTTCCTTCATTGCTGCCAGAGGAGGTGACAGTGGAATGCCTGAGGCAATCAACTTGATTAGTTGTTGTTTGACTTCACCATTGTGTTATTCAAGATAGGCACCAATGGCACGAGGAGCACCCCATGAGACTTGGGAAGAAGGCTCTCCCTCCCTCCTCAAGAAATCTCAACCTTTCTCTATATTAATTTCCTCTTCTAGAAAAGAACCACCCACGGTTTCCATGTCTATTTTACTTTCCATTAACCAAGCAGTGACAAGGGATTTGCACCATAAGGCAATGGGCTTAGAAATACCTTTCCTACATTAGTCTTCGAGAAGAACTTTGCATTCCGATGCTTCCTCCAAATGTTGAACATCCCTTGAGCATGCATAAACCTCCCCAACATCTTTTGACACAGTCGCTAGGATCTCGTCGTCCCAGAGATGAAAAGGAAGCTTGGAGATGTTAGTCCAGATAAGAATAGGATTTTTGAAGACTTATAAACCATACATTCATTACACTTCATGAAGGTGCCACCAAAAGAACCCATGTCAATGTATCCAAGGTTGGTGTCCACCCTGAGCAGTTCTAGACTAGGGAATTCTACCAGAAAGCTTCCCTCTCCGACGACATAATTTGGAAGGACCAATCTGTGATGTCGAATCGGAATAACAACATGTTCCTAAGTTCATCGATGGCCGGCGATCATGAAGCAATTGAGAGAACATCATAAGAGGAGAGCTTGTTGATATTGACTTTGACGGAAGAGGGCAGAGGGACGATCCTTGTCGGGGGAGGAAGAGAGACATGGAAAGGGCATGACCTAGATGTGGGACACATACCCTTGCAGGAGAAACACTTGGAAGGACCCCTGGTTGCGCTCCTTGGCCAAACACTCTGGATCTCCACGATAAAAAAACAGCGCCTCGGCTTGAGATCTTCAAGGCGAAGGAACGCACTTTTTTTGTACTTAAATTACTAATATGTAGCTCACGCAACTTATATCGTGCACAGTATGAAACACTCCATCCATAATTACGAGTTACAAAGACCATGTTACATTGACACCTAAAGCATTAAGGAACGGTTGCTAGGAGTTTACAATCATGAACAATTACTACCCCGAAAAAAGACTGACATTATTAGCCTTTGAAGTACACTTGTATCCAAGTCACTTAATAGGGTTGCACGGAAGGGTGAAACGGGTGGTGGATATGAAAATTATAGTAACATATATCGGACTCTGGGTTTGATGGAAAGGAAAACATTGGTAATGGACCGTAATCAAAATCTTAAGCAGGAAGAGAAGCCAACCAAGGTAGAAGTTTTTCATGAACCAGATCTGGCCTGTCATCGTGAGGACAGTGGCCAACCCCTTCAAGTACATAAAGCTTCACGTTGGACAATTGAGAAGGGAGAGAAGAGAAGTATCTGCCCACGGGCCCATCAAGAGGAGTGAATGGATCTCGATCGCCCCACAAAACCAAAACAGGAACAGATATTCTCGGCACCAACGAAACCGGGCTCGGCCCTGGAGGGCCTGTCACTATAGAAATAAATGCATCCAGAGCACCTTCGTCATCCGCAGGCCTTTTTATGATCTGCCATTAGAAAGCAAAGTTCTTCTCAGGATCATTGAAATTGCTATTTCGGTTCCCCAATTCTTAAGTTATTATAAAATTGGTCCCTCAAATCATTAAATGGTCCCTTAATTCTCCTAAATTATTTCAAACGAACCCTTCTATTTGCTACTTCTACCCTTGATTGGAAGGACCAATATCAAAATAACTTAAGAGTTTGGGGGATCTAACAGCTATTTCAATGATTTGAGCTACTAATTAATTTCAAAATAACTTAAGAATCGGCGCAATTTCAATTATTTGAGGGACTAATTTCAAAATTTGAAAGATTTACGGCACTAATACCAAAAAACCCAAATCGAAATTGAAACAATATGAACTCATGATATTCCATCTTGATCTGATCCCAGGGGATCTCTTCAGAATAAGACCATGGCAATATTGCCACTCAAACGAGGGTTAATTGCGGATACACCCACTGTAACATTGCTGTTTTGAACTTACTACCTGTGTAGCTTTATTTTTGCATATAAACGCCTGAGTGAAATTTTTTCTTACTATTTTACCCTCAATAGGATTTTTTTTTTTTTTTTTTTTTTTTCAAATAGAAATCCTGGGCAAGAGTCAAATTTCACACAGGAGGTCTATTTGCAAAATAAAACTAAAGGGCAGTAAATTCAAAACGGTGATGCTACAAGGGGTCTAACTGCAACTAAGCCTACAGCCGATATAAACTTATGATTCCAACTTACCTCTACCAAATCATCGTCCACAGATATTTTGTTTGCATAAACAGATAGCAATATGTTCTTAAGGTTCTCCCTGTTGAGTATAGAGATATCAGAATTTGCAATTTATCACTCTGATATGAAAATTTGAAATCCACTACCATTTTTACCTTTGTTTAACTCGCTCAAAAATAACTGATGCTATCCTCTTTTGCTTCAGCCAGAAATCAATGAACCAAAGTAATGGCAAGAGAAGTTTGATCCTCCAATCATCGACGATCGCCTTGTTGTTCATGCCCCCTGCACAATTTAGTAGCACAATCCCCCGGACCAAACCTCTTGTAGATTCTGGAACAATAAGTAAAAGAAAATATTAATATAATTAAAGGAATTATTCCTCGAAAGTTAAATGAAGAATCCATGTTACCTTAAATCAGACATGAACATGGCCTATTCTTAATCTCGAGACGTATATGGCTTCTTCCCAGTTACACTAAGTTAAAAGGAATAATTAACCCTTTAAGAAAAATGCATACTAACTTTTCATGCTTCAAAAAAATTGTTTCTATTTATCCCACTAAAATATTCCACTAGCGAAAAATTATCTCACTTTAACAATTATCCCATTTTGCATGAAAACGTCCCAATTGACTATCACCCCCTTAAGATAAATGCATACTAACTTTTCATGTTGCAGATTTATGTGGCTCAAAACAGAATGTTTATTGAGCTCTATTAACCGGGTAAAAGCCAACATTTGTAGGGCGAGTAGGATTTTAGAATCATTTGACTAGTAAAGGATCCACTGAAACTTGGGCATCAACCTTTCTCGTTGGAGACAATCACAGAATCTATTATATATTATTACTATTAATTATGTATTATCTATTACTATTAATAAAGAAAAGCTTGAATTTTGGTTCAATTTTTTTGGTCATATCCTTTGTTAGTCACTAAATCCATTAATTCCAGCAGTGTCCTTTAAAAAATACCATGCTTTCAAAAATAATAAGAGGGTTATAATTGGAAAAGAAAAATAACTTAACCGAAGAGATCATTCCACACTTCTCTCTCTCTCTCTCTCTCTCTCTCTCTCTCTCTCTCTCTCTCTCGCCTGAAAAACTAACTCTGCATAACTAACCCTCCCCACAACCCACTATTCAAATTCAAATCCTACGGACCTTCACCATCCATCTCCATTATGTTACATTATTAATATTAATATTAATTACAGTTTTTTTTCCTTTAATTTGGGCGTCTATTACTATTAGTAACCGTTTCCATTAGACAATGTACCATTGCCATACACAACAAATCTTCCCAGAATTTCAAAATCTATACTTATTTCTTGATATTTATACTCTTTTTGTTGTTATTATTCGTTCTTTTTGTTGTTATTATCCATTCTTTCTTCATGCCAATGATTATTTTCTCTTCCTTGATTTTCCAGAGATCTCGTGCTCTTTCTTTACAGTCGAGTCCAGGACAGATCAGATCATGATTCCTTAGATGCATTACTGTTGCAAAGGTTTGACTTTTTATTTAATTTTATTAACTTATTTGCAGCATAGTTTTTCCGATAATCGAGCTGTTTAGTTTTCTTTTGTTCTTTATCTTAATTTTTTGCAGCATAATTCTTTTTTAGAAGGTTCGCCTTTGATATGTCCTTTTCTTTTTTAATCGAGTATATGATTACTAACTGGTACAACGCAATTGTTTAGAATGCTTTTCCTTTTTTTTTTGTTCATTTTCTATTCTATCGCTTGAACGACAATGTGGCATGGCGTGACACTATTCTTGCTGTCAGAACTCTGTCCCTTGATAATTTTCCTACATGCTCTTTCATGTTGCGTGACATGTACACATCGCATGCAGTGGAGTACTAGTACAAGCATAAGATGAACCCTAATGTGTGCACATTCGGATTAACATCCAGGGGTTTATTGGTTATAAACTTATTTGATACTACTGCAGGCCCAAATTCAGATAGCTAGTTCAAGATTGTTGATTGATTTATATCAAATCAAATGATAGTCATAGCAGAAGTTTATTAAGAGCTAATTGATTCACTTATGATATCCACGGACTCATGTTTTTGTCATGTTTTTATTATGAATCATCTGCAGTTTTCTAAAAAGTCCTAGCTTAACCATGTAACCCTAATTTAAGAACGCTTTATTTCTTTTACTAAGGATGGAAGACACAGCAATGATTTGAGTCATTGTTGGATAATGACTTTTTTCTTTGCATTCTTTCCTTTTTTACATCCATATTTTATTTACTTCTGCAATGTGTTCCCTATTCAGATAAGGACAGAATTAGTTCAATTAAGGGCAGAATTAGTTCTGTTGCTCTTGAAACTTTATTTCTGTCCATTGAAGCACTATACTATAGAGTGTTTACATGGTATTTGGCCTCATGTCCTCTTCCTCCTAATTACATCCTAAAATAATTGTGGTTACTATGAAGATCAAGATCAAGATCAGGATGGAGACTACGTATCTCAAGCTAAACATAGAGATCATTGGTATTCACTAACGACTATGTTAGTGCAAGATGCACCTTTGGTTTTTTAAAAAGATCTAAATTCCAAACAGCAATATTTGTAAGGAGTATTGCAGAACCATCTGAAGGAGACCCTCAATTTAATGGAGACCAAATATTCCCTACTTTCCATGTATTACTAATTTGTAATTGGTTGTTAACCTCTCATAAAGAACAGATTCATCAAGAAAGGAGATCTCATATGGTGAAGGTTTCAAAGACCAAATTTCAATATTACCCCTAAATCATTCAAGTTACTTGAAATTGCACCATTATTTTATGCAATTAGACCGCCAAATCATTTAAGCATTTGAAATTGCATCCATTAGTGCTGAAGTGAGGGTCTCTGTAAAATAAATTTTTTGGCTAATGTATCCTTCATGTTAAGTTTAAGAGTCATTTATGGTATCCCAAAATTCATCTCATAATTTAATGGCGTAAGTACCTTGAAACCTGGATCTATTTAGAAATTATATCTATATTTACGGAAGGATCCACATGTTAATACTGCAACAAAAATATTTTATGATATGATACAGTATTTTTTTACTGTAGCATGAACAATGCTTCAATTGCAGAGGGCATGTTTGGTTTAATGTTCATGCTATAGTAACTTACTGTAGCATGAACATTGATTCTTGAGTTCTCCTTTAAGTATAGAAGAGTAGATTTTCATTATATCGAAATGGGACAATCTTGAAACCTCTCTGGACAATATTGTTTCAACGCTTATAATCTGCTAACCTTAGGTTACATAACTAATACCATGTTGGGAATCAATTACTACGAATTTGTGTTAAAAAGTGCAGATGAAGTAGCAAAATCTAAAAGTTTAGAACACGAATATGCTGTCTATATGAGAAATAAACATCATGCACATATAGATGGTTTGCATGCATGTGTCATAGATGGATTTTTCTCTCGCCAAGTTTGCGGCATCAGCCAGACTCTAGAATATTCATGTATATACTTGAATGTTCTTGTAAACGAGATACTTGTAAAGAATTCTATAGAGAATTAATCTTGTCCACTGGATGTATAGCTTTCTCTAGAAAAAAAATAGATTGTTCATGTAAAGGGAACCTCCTTTATAAGGAGGCTAAGGGGGAGCTCATTGGTATCAAAGCAAGTTTGGGCTCATAAAATTTTAAGTTCCTCTTAAAGTTTTCTTGCTTTCTTGAGTGCTCGGTTTAGTAGGCTGGGCTGAGCCCTTCTAGTGAGCCAAAAGTGAGTGAAGTGCCGCACGAGAAGGTCATCTGTTGTGCCAAAATAAAATGCCTGTGACAGTTGGTATCAGAGCAAACTTGGTTTGTGGGAGATGGCTAGCTCGGATGGTCAGCAAGCAAAACGTGACTAGGGCTGGCACCAATCCGGAGAAGGCCCCAATCGAGAGAGGATGCATCCGTGATGCGCTAACAACGTTGGAGGCACGATCATGTAACATTGAACACACCGTGGTTGATTCAAGGGATCAGCTCGAGGCTATTGAGGAACGCATCAAAAATCTCGAGTCCACGGGGGATGAGCTTCGGGAAGAGATGCAGTTAGCCCAGAACTCCACTGTTAATTCTAGGAACAACGGACTGCTACCCTTGAGGCCCGGAACATGACCTTAGAGGCTCAGGTGGAGAGCCTCACCAAGGCACTAGAAGAGCTCAGGGGCGAGTTCAATCAGTGCAAGGTGGCTATGTCGAACCGAGGAATCGTCATGCTAATGTTCGGGACTAGAGGTGCCCAAACCCAAGCCATATGGTGGACCTTGAAATACACAGCTAAAAAATTACTTGTGGAACCTGGAGAGGTACTTTGATGCTGTCAGCTGCATGGACGATGAGTCCATGCTAAAAATGACACCTCTCTACCTCCAAGAACGTTACTACGTTGTGGTGGTGTAGATGGTATGATGACATCTGATATAGCTCATGCACCGTCAACACTTGGGACGAGTTCAAGATCGAGATGAAGCAGCTTTATCCGAAGAATGCCAACGACAAGGCTTGTTGGAGATCCCGGACATGAGCAAGAAAGACTCTCTTCTCGGTCAAGGATGGTCTAGCTAGGTCGACTAAGATGGAGCTATAGAGGCGAGGCGTGCAGACCTTTGCACAAGCGGTAGTTGTGACCGAGTACCTAATCGAGTTCAAGGAGGGAGACCCATCCTTAGGCAAGCCTAAGGATAAGGACAAAAAGGGTGGTAAATCGGCAAAAAGTGGGGGAGATAATAAGAAACAATCCAACAAAGGAACCCCCACGGAAGCCACCATTGTCTAAGGGCAAGTTCTTCGATAAGTCTAGCTCTTGTGGCAGTCGACCGCGGATTTGTGAGGCACCACACAAGGCCATGGACTGTCCAAAGAGAGCTAATATTGCTGTGATATTTGTGAAGCACCACACAAGGTCATGGACTATCCAAAGAGAGCTAAGATTGTTGCGATGGTCCAGCGAGAAGAGGAGAAGCAGCAAGAGGAGTCTTGGCTAAGCTCGTTGCGGATCCTCAATGTCATTCGTGCCGAGGTAGATGAGCGGATGAAGGGGCTAATATTCGTGGAGAATCATTGCGGATAAGATCCTTAAAGCCTTGCTCGATACTGGTGCTTCCAATCTTCTTGTCTCGGATGTTGCAGCAAAGAAGCTAGGACATGTGGTGTCAAAATTGGGTGGCATCACCAAGGTAGTGAACTTCTACACCCATCATTAGCATAGCTTGCAAGGTAGATGTGAGCATGGGTGAGTGGTGTGGCCAAGAGGACCTAAGAATTGTAATAATGGATGATTTTGAGGTGGTCATCGGCTTGGAGTTCTTAGACAATACCAAAACTATTGTAGTTCCCTACGCCAACATTATGTGCCTATTGCAGGGCAAGGCGTGCACGATCCCGATTGAGTGAGAGAGGAACATTTTGGACAAAGTCCTCTCTACCTTGTAGATTTCTAAGGACGTTCAGAGACATGAGCCGACCTTCATCTCTACACTTAAGATGGTGGAAGACTTGTCTATAGGGGAGGAAGTCCCATGAGAGATTCAGATCGTCTTGGATGATTTCCAAGACTTATGTCAGCCAAGTTAGCAAGTTACCACCCAGAAGGGAGGTGGATCACATCATCGAGCTTAAGCTAGGAGCTTGACCACCAGCTTCATTCCCTTGTCACATGGCACCACCAGAGTTGGAGGAGTTTCAGAAGCAGTTGAAGGAGTTGTTGGATGCGGGCTACATCCAACCATCAAACGCTCCTTATGGTGCACTGGTCTTGTTCTCGAAGAAGCACGATGGCTCGTTGTGGCTATGCATCGACTAGAGGGCATTGAACAAGATCACGGTGAAGAACAAATATCTTATACCGTTGGTGGCGGACTTGTTCGCTAGATTAGGCCAAGCAATGTACTTTACTAAGCTGGACCTTAGATCGAGCTACTACCACGTGTGGATCGTGGAAGGAGATGAACTAAAGAAGGCATGTGTAACTCAGTATGGATTGTATGAGTTCCTTGTTATGCCATTTGGACTAACCAATGCACTTGCTAATTTTTACACTATGATGAACAAGGTCCTAGAGTCCTTTCTAGACTGGTTTGTGGTGATCTACTTAGATCATATTGCCATCTACAGCCAGACCATGGAGGAACACAATGAGCATTTAGCCAAGGTATTCCAAGCCTTAAGGAGCAATGAAGTTTACGTCAAAAGGGAGAAATGTTCCTTCGCCCAGGAAGAGGTGGTATTCCTTGGGCACATCCTCGGAGAGGCAAGATCAAGATGGATACAGCCAAAATTTGAGCCATTGGCGAGTGGGAACCACCCAAAAAGGTAACGGAGTTGCGGTCATTTCTCGGCTTGGTGAACTACTACTACCAACGGTTCATCAAGAGCTATTCAGCTTTGGTGGCTCTGTTGACCGATTTGCTGAAGAAGAACTGGATGTGTGATTGGGCCCCTAAGTGCAAGAAAACTTTCGGTATCTTTAAGAAAGACATAACAGAAGAGCCGGTTCTCACACTTCCTGACTTCAGCAAACCATTCGAGGTGCACACTGACGCGAGCAATTTTGCTATCAGCGGGGTGTTGATGCAAGAAAGACACCCCTTTGCTAACGAGAGTAGGAAGCTTGATGACATCGAGCGGAGGTACACGGTCCAGGAGAAGGAGATGACAGCGGTGGTTCATTGCTTACGAACCTGGAAGCACTACTACTTATGTGGCCACTAGCTACTTCTAAACCTAAAAGAAGTTGTCCCTAAAATAAGCACGGTGGTAACACTTCTTGGCGGAATTTTGAAGTACAAGCCGGAAAGAACTAACTTAGTGGCAGATGCCTTGAGCTGAAAGTCGGAGCTTACCGAGTTAGCCAACCACAGAGCCTATTGTTGGACCGCATCAAGGAGGGCTTGGCTCATGATCCTATGGCTAAGTCCTTGGTAACATATGCTACGAAGGGGAAAATGCAGAGATTTTGGTTCGAGGATGGCTCGCTCTATAGCAAAGGGCAACACTTATATATGTCACAGTTCTAGAATCTAAGGTGAGAACTCTTGAAGGAGTGACATGGCCCTTAATGGATGGACATCTAGGTGTGCACCGCACTTTGGCACTCTTGGGTGAAATTTACTAGTAGCCTCGCATGAGGGAAGAAGTGGAGGCATATGTCAAAACTTGTCTTATGTGCTAACAAGACAAGATGGAGCAAAGAGCACTTGCATGATTACTTGAACCACTACGCATTCCGGAGAGACCATGAGAAAGCATATCCATGGACTTCATTATGGGTTTGCCTAAGTCAGATGAGTGTTGCATCATAATGGTGGTGGTCGACCAATACTCTAAGTACGAGATTTTCATTCCGGCTCAAGCAAAGTGCCTTACAGAAGCGGTTGCCTCTTTGTTCCTAGAGCATGTAGTAAAAATGTGGGGACTGCCACGGTCTATTGTGAGCGATCGTGATGCTCGGTTCATAGGCAAATTCTGATCCGAGTTGTTCAAGTTGATGGGATCAGACATGAACTTCTCCACTAGTTTCCACCCTCAGTCGGATGGGCAAGCGGAGAGGGGAAGAGCTTGTTAGAGGTCTACTTGAGGCATTATGTGAGTACCAACCCGTAGAATTGGGCTAAGCTGCTTGACATAGCCTAATTTTCCTACAACTTGCCACAGAGTGAGTCCAGGAAAAAGAGTCTGTTCGAGATTGTGCTTGGTACCCAACCCTTCATGCCGAACAACATTGCAATGGGCCACATGGGGAGTAGTCCAGCGGCCTTTAAGCTTGCTACGGCATGGCAAGAGGAAAATGAGCTAGCGCGTTCATGCTTGAACAAGGCTACATAGAGGATGAAGAAATGGGCCGACAAGAAACGAAGGCATATGTCTTACGAGGTTGGAGACTTGGTCCTTGTCAAGCTATCCATACTTGATCGGCACAAAGGGTTGAACAGGAGCTTGATAAGGAAGTATGAGGGCTCATTTCTGGTTGTGAAGAAGGTGGGGAATGTTGCCTATAACATTGAAGTTCCTCCACTCCACTATATCACGAGGATGCGGAAGACCGGACCTATGGGAGATCAAGTCGAGCACCTACCGGGGTTCGCATGGAGTTCAACAAGGAGGCTGATGAGATATTAGCAAACAGGATGGTTTGTGAAGAGAACAATCAGCAATGGCTTGAGTACTTTGTTTATTAGAAGGGTTTGCCTGAAAGTGAGTGCAGTTGGGAGCTGACCAAGACTTTGTGGCAATTTGAAGACCTGATAGAGTCCTTCAAGAAGGAGTAAGCGAAGCGATGAGGGAATTGCCGGAATGAGTGGCGGAGAATGTCATAGATTGATTTTTCTCTCGTCAAGTCAGCGTTCACATAAGCGCCGCATCAACCAGACTCTAGAATGTTCATATAAATTCTTGGATGTTCTCGTAAATGAGATACTTGTATAGAATTCGCTAGAGAATTAATCTTAGCCATTGGATGTATAAATTTCTCTAGAAAAGAAATCTAGGATATTCATGTAAAGAGAACCTCCCCTATATAAGGAGGCCAATGGGGAGCTCAATCATATCAAAGCAAGTTTGGGCTAAGAAAATTTTAAGTTTCTCTTAAAGTTCTTGCTTTCTTGCGTACTCGGTTTGGTAGCCTAAACTTAGCCCTTCTAGTGAATCAAGAGTGAGCTAAGTGCCGCACGGGAAGGCTGTCTATTGTGCCAAAACAAAGCGTCTATGACATGTGCATACAAGAAATTAAAAACAAAGCTAGTTAATAAACAACATAGATAGAAGTTATAAGGGAACATAGTTGGATCCATGTAACGTGAATCCCATTGAATATACGCTGGGGCATCCCTATTGTGATGAGTTGCATCGATCCCACTCCGGTGCAATGACAAGTAGGTAAGGGGATATGTCAATAACTAAGTTTAACGGAGCAGACAACCCAAAATAGAATTAAATAGAAGACGGGATTCACGTAGCTAACCCAAAATTTTGGGATAAGGGCTTTATTATTGTTGTTGTTGTTGACATGGTGTATCCAATAAACTTACAAGTTGCAAGTATCCAATATGTTTCATATGCATATATACTCCTCTGCGATGCATCTTTGTAACATAGCAAGGCATTAATAAACCACGATAAAATGTTGCAGAATTTATAAAGCCAACCTTTATGATTGCCTGCAAGCTAAGTTACATGGAAATGGGTACGGGTACCGATACAGGTGCGAATATGGGTACGGGACACGACAAATTTGTAAATGTAGGGTACGAGGACACAACTACACATATATGTCAAAATTAATAATTTACATGAGATCATTATTATATTTCAATTCATGTGCTATTTAAAATTAATTTCCTATCATATTTATAAGCTTCTTTTATCTTTTATCATGTTGATTATTATAAATTGGAAACTAATTGTTTTTTAATTAGACGCTCAAATCACCCTTTTAAATCATAGTTTTTAACTTGAATACAGTCTGAAACAACCGGACCCGTGTCTAATGAGTTTTAGAAAATAATATATATGTCCAAGATGTGTATGGCAAGTATTTTAAATTAAAACATATATCGTATAATTGAGTACATATCTGGGTAAATGTATGCATACATCCAAGAGCGTCCAAAAAGTTTGTGTACAGATAAGTGTTGGGTATGTGTCAGGTACGGGGTACGGCTTCATGAGTGAAGTACCCGGGTAACATAGGCTGCAAGCTTCTTAGATAATAAGAACTCAAGGTATTTATAAGGATCTTAAGCTGAAAGAACTGGAAGCTATTTAAACCACATCTGACAAATAACTAACCAGAAGCAGAAATGACACAAGCAAGGCTTCCAACTGAATTCCCAACCAAAACCGTTGGCTTCTTTATGACTTCATCCAAGAAATCCAGAATTAACTATTGCAATAAACCACACTCTCCAGTATGAGTATCTCAATGAATACTAATGACTACCACATAGAAATACTTAGCAAAGTAAGAAGCAGATAACACACCTGAGACCATACTTCCATTGTATAAGCAAAGCCTTCTGGCTTATCTGAATCACCAAAACCCAGCAGATCAATTGCATAAACAGTGTAGCCTTCTGACAGAACTCCAATATTTCTGAAGTAGAAAATTAAATAGCAAAACATTTTGACTAAAATAACAAATTAACGATAATGTTTTGCTTTTCAGAACCATGTCAGAAAAAGATTTCAGACGCCTAGTTAGGTAGAGTAAAATTGTGGTAAAAGGGAATTAGATCAGCATGTACTCACCTTGACGCAATCACATGACATAATTTTCAATAGAATACCATCAGAAAGTGAGGAGATCAGACTACGTGGATCTAAAATAAAACTATAGGAAGAACACAAAGCTGATACAGTGTTACATTCAATAGAATACCATCAGAAAGTTCCACTGCCATCAGCCGTTGCACCTTGCCCTCAGAGTTCGCCATTGGTCTGTGATCTTATTTGTAGAGGTTAATTCTCTTGAACTACAATTAATAATGTGAGTACTATAGAATTACTTACTTATTTATTTATTTATTTATTTTTGATTTTTCTAAAAGAAAGAATGGGGTCTCAAACTTGAAAACCCCAATCCTCCATATACCAAAAACGGATGTTTATATCAACTATAGGGTTTATTATTATTGTTCAGATACACTTGAATTGTTCTTTAAAGTTGTACGAACACCGTCAGTTTTGCTTTGACATCTAGATTGTGTTTATCAAGGAGTCAGAAAATGAAAGTTGAGATCACTGATCTGTTAAATAGGCAAATACTCCTCTTCCCTTGGTACCATTATCACTCAGTCTCTTTTTTGCTTCTAGTTATCAAATCATTCAAGTATAACTTGCATACCTATAAATATGTCATGATTAATCTAAAAAGCTCCCCAACAAAACGATACATACTGAATTTTTCAGGTGGATCCCAACCTGAAGGTGTGACATTATAGAAGCCGCATAGACAAAAAAACTACAGGGAATGAATTGATCAGTAATTATTCAACAGCCAATTCTAGAGTCTTATCAGGTTGGACACTAACTCTATAAAGGCGTTGGGGGTATAGGCTCAATTATATGCCTCGAGGTGGCCACCAATTTGAAAGAAACTTATATAATATCCAACCCTTTGCTTGAGTTACGAATCTGAGGAGAAAGATAGATCCAGTGTTTTGGGGGTTAAAAAGAGGTCTATCTCTTACATCTGAAGGGTATCCATCCTAATGAGAATACCCCTGCTAATGGAGTTAACAACCAATAAAGATATATCCTTGATCAAACTAAAAGGTAGTCCAATATTAGTATGTTATGGTGAACAATCTCAAATCTTACCCTAGCCATCCATCGAAGGACTTACACTGAATGTATCTAATGGCTTGGATAGACCAAAACCAAATGAGGATGTTCCTACTTATCATTGCCTAGAGAATAGATATCTTACTCAGAGAAGTCAGGAACATGGTATGTTATAGTGAACCGCGACCCGGGGTCAATCGTTCCAGATTCACGCGAAACACATCCCGATTCACCAGCTTCAGCAACCCAATTTAGAATTCAAACCACTTAAAATTTTGAAAAAAAAAAGCAACTCTTTTTTAAAGAATAAACAACAAAAATGCGAGAAATTAAGCAAATAAAGAATGCATATCTTAATTGCAACATGATTCTTATGGTTCTTTTACCGTTACTGATGTCAACTAGCATTTAAGAACTGAACCTACAATGTACAACGTTCCCTGGTGTTACATATAAGCCTACTCCCCTCATAACTGATTCCTAATGAGTGGTGTACCACATTCCCGTACCCGTCCGCTGAACCGGAACGAACCAGGTTCCATGCAACTATGATCTCACTACTATTTACTGTTTATTGCTAACTATTACCCTTCTTCTTCTTCTTCTTCATTTTATACTAGTTGTTACTCGATAACTATAACTTATCATTGGATATCTACCAGTGCAGTCTCTAGGTATGAACAATGTCAGTAGGAAAATGTTAAAATTTATAAATAAAATCCTTTCTCCAGGGTTTGTACGACTCAAAAACATTCCAAAATCTCTCAACCACACACATACTCTGCCAAAATATTAATTAACTAATTCACATTTTCACTAAGAATATCCTCACAAATTAGCCCAACAAACCCGAAACCCATTATCAAAATCTGATCTTTCCTTACATATTACCTTCGCCAGTGACCAACGGAGGCACCAAACCCATGAACGAGGAGAAGAGGAGGGCCAGCTCCCTTGACGAGGTAATTCACATTAAAGCCCCTCCATTTCCATAGCTTGCAGCTGCGCTTGATCTCCTGCAGCTCCCTGCTGCTTTCTTGGATGAGGGTTGAGATGCTATCGCTGCCGTTGGAAGAGGAGACCTTTAGATGTTGAATGCGATGGTGATGGGCAATTCTGTAATTTCTCAAAATGAAAGATGATGATGATGAAGGATGGGAAGAGGAGGGAGGAGATGAGAAAGGGAGGAAAGATGTGGAGGGAGTTGAGAGGAGAGTAACGGCCATATGATGTATCCCAACAATTTTTGATCTCTCTGATCTGCTTGCTTCCTTTTTGATGGCGGTCCTTACGCACTGAAAAATAAGTTTTTTTTTATTTATTTATAGATATTAGTCCCCTCAAATCTTCCGCTAGCTCTCTCAAATAATTTGGGTAATTGCAATTTGGTCCATGTAGTTAACTTGGCCGTTAGATGTGAGGGGAATATCCACTCAAATATAACCTTTTAGCAATGAAGTTATAATAAATCTCTCAATTATGTTTAATAACCTGTTTTCTAATTGGTTTAAATCTAAAAGTTGCATACTAAAAATCAAAACACACATGTTTCATTTCCTAGAATGATAAAAAAAATGCCCCTACCCTATTTTTCATCTTCCCCTAATAGTCGTCTAATGTCACGAATGATGATTGGAGGATATTTTAATAATCGACTATGTTGGGTTAAGAACTAATCTAACCATGATTTTACAAATTTAACTGAAAACTGGAAAATGGACCAAATTGAAATAACCCTCGTAATCTAAGTCACACATTATCAATTTCAGCGATTTAATCAAAGTTGAAGATTTAGGGGCCAACAATTAGAAAAACCTTTAAAAAGGGTATTTTAGATATTAGTCCCTTAAATATGAACTATTTTGTATTAGTCCCTTAAATCTGAGTATTTTGATATTAGTCCTTGAAATTGTGTTAAGTTATTGATATTAGTCTTCTATGAGGTTTTACTAGTGTGCAGCCCGTGCAAAGCACAGTCCCCTATTTTTTTAAACACTGCATTTTTAACTTTCCCCCATCTAAGTTTTAATACATTTAAATTAATTATTATATACTTAAGATTAGAAATCATATCTACTCCTCTATACTTAAAGAAGGATCCAAGTTTTAATATATTTAATTTAGAAATTATATATACTCCTCTATACTTAAAGAAGTATCCAAGTTTTAATACATTTGATTTGCTTTACTGTCTATGATACAGTATTACTGTAGCATGAATAGTAACTTCAAGTGTGGAAGAGCATATATGATTTACTGTTTATGCTACAGTAAATATTGTAGCATGGACAGTAACTTCGAGTGCAAACGATCAGATTTGATTTAGTACTGGTCCTACATTTTTTACTATAGCATGAACAATAATTATTTAAATTATGCTTTTAGTATAGATGAGTAGATGTTAAAAAAAACCTAAACCATGGTTGGGTTAATATTAACTATATATGGTAAGTTACCAAAATACCCTCGGTGTAATTCAAGCTAACTAAATGCCCCCTTCCCTCCCTCCCTCCCTCCCTCCTCTCTCTATCTCTAGTTCCCAAAATAAGAGAAATGAGTTTTTTTTTTGCCCTTGTTTGATATCACCTACAACATCACTCAATATCGCCTCCATATCAAGTCTAATCCCTTACTACAGACTAAAGAAGAAGAATCCTCACGCCCCTTAAGAAGAAAAACCCTCCCTAAATTTATTTCATTAATTTCGTTGGATTTTGTAGGGTTTTCAACCATCTTCTTTTTAGGCTTATTATTGTTGTCTTTAGGGTTGAAAAAGTCATGTTTTGGTGTGAATATTATGTAGCAATCAATTTAGACCTAAATTTGGGCCAAATTGCAGTAGATGTTTGTTCCTGAGATTTCCTTGCTCAATTAGTTTTATAATGAGTTTTATTGTCTTGTTATTGTATGATTTCCTCAAATTATTTGCTGTTCAATTAATGCCATTTGTGAAAATGTGTAAGCATGGCAGTTGATTTAGAGGTTAAATATTTGGGATTTGTAGTAAATTTGATTAAGGTTTAAAGATTTGGGTTTGTAGTAAATTTAGGGATAAGTTATGGTTTAATCTTGATTAGGGCTTAATCATGCGATGATGAATTTAAATTTGATTAGAGTTTAGTTATGCAAAGATGAGTTTTTATTTGGTGACGTGCATAATTGTCCCATAAATGCAACAATTATAGATAACGGAATTTTCCCATGTAGATTTAACAGCCACTAACTTGAGGGACTAATATCAACAACTTAAAGCAATTTAAGGGACTAATATCAAAAAACTCAGATACGAGGGACTAATACAAAATCGCTTAGATTTAAGTGACTAATATCTAAAAAAACCCTAAAAAAGGCAAACACGTTTCTTCTTCTTCTTAGCATGCTTTCCTTCTTTCAAAGGCAAAGACAAACTCACGGATTAGAAAAGGAAAGTTAAACCTAATAGTAAATTCAATGGTATGAGAGACCGATTGAAAATAACTAAAGTAATAGGGGGACTTAAATAGTCAATTTCAACATTTTATTTCACATGTTTCAGAATATTTAAAATATGTGAGGAAATTCTTTACATATCTTTAAAAAAAAATTCATTTAATTTTGGGAAAAATGTGTCCAGGCCCCAAAAACATAAACATCATGTGCTGCAGCCCCTCCTAGTTTCCCCCATGTGGTTCAGCCCCTTGAAGTGTGACATTTTGTGCTGCAGCCCCTTTTTACCAATTATTACATGCCAGCTAAGCTAAACTCCCCAAAGTAACATTATCCTCTCTCCTCAATCCTTCAAACTCAGTTCTCTCTCTCTCTCTCTCTCTCTCTCTCTCTCTCTCTCTCTCTGTTCAGCCCCTTGAAGTGTGACATTTTGTGCTGCAGCCCCTTTTTACCAATTATTACATGCCAGCTAAGCTAAACTCCCCAAAGTAACATTATCCTCTCTCCTCAATCCTTCAAACTCAGTTCTCTCTCTCTCTCTCTCTCTCTCTCTCTCTCTCTCTCTCT